CTTTTTATTTAATAAAGTTCATCGGAAAGACTAAAATAGTTTATTTATTTATAGCTTGTAGAACAGATAGATAATGCCATTGGTAATTGCGAACATATCATATCGAAATAGGACTTTAGATCTTTTGAATCAAATATTTAATCGGCACTACTTCATTATAGATATCGAGAATTTGAATTTATGGCCACAAATTCTTTCATTTCTTTCACTACCAGAAGCTTCTCTTAGGGCACAAGCTTTATGGGTATGCGGAACTGCTGTTCAGAATAATCCTAAGGCACAGAAAGCTGTAAGCACTTAGTCATTTTATTTGCGAATTATTTGTCAATTGCAAGGATAATCTTAAAAGTCTTTCTTTAATGCAGTTCTCAGAAAAAGGAGGATTGACCCTCATTTTGAATATATTAAAAGATGAAAACGAAGATATGGAAGTTAAGAGTAAAGCATTATATGCGTTATCTGGTGAGTCAAGAGTTTTAAGACTTCAATTATACATGCTTTACATTAATTTCTGTGTATTAATGTTTTCAGGGGCTATAAAGCACTATCCTCCAGGGTTAGCTCAGTTGGAGAAAGATGGAGGATATGACATGTTATTGAAATTATTAGAAACTTCTAATGGTATGATATGGGTTTTTAGATAAACTTATCATTTGAGAAGAATTTCGATTAAAATATGTTTTATATATTTTCAACATTTAGATATCCAGTTACTGCGTAAAATAATATTTCTTTTCAATACATTGCTTGTGCAAGATCCGAATACTGTGTCAATGCGAATAAAAGAAAAAGGACTTGCCAAAAAGATGATTAATATATTAGATAAATATGGAGAGCAAGATGAAGATTTGACAGATAAGGTTTGCAAATTGTATTTGTTTATTAGATAAGTGTAATTCATAAATTTTACAAACTTGAATATTTTGTAGGTCCTTCGTACATTGCTTGCTGAATTACAACATTCTCCACAGTCTTTGACCGAGGATGAGATAAGCGAGTTGAGAAAACTTCTTCCAGTGCTCAAAACAAAATATGAGAAGTGCGCACTGTCCCCAATAGAATGGGAAGAATTAGAGAAACGAATTCAACAACGGAAACTTGTTTGAAATACTTTTTATTGCATGTTTTCATGTTATTGTCTATCTCATTTTATTTATATATTCTCAGTTATACCAGATTAAATGTTGCTACGTGATTTTCAAAGCGAACTAACGAGTAAATGAATTTTTTGGGAAACGGTTAATTTGTTAAATAATAAATACTATTTGTTCTCTGGTTTTTAGCCTAAATAACTTTCTATCATATTTGTTAATTATATTAGTACTTGTCAAAAATTAAGAATTCATTCAAATGGTTTAAACGTTGCAATTGAATCTGAAATTTTGGCAGAATCTTAGTCATCTTAGTCAAATTATGACAATTTTCTCAATCGCATAACTCAAAAAAATTCTAGTTTTGCGTGTCTGCTATTTGCAATTGGAAATGTGTACCAGGTTGGTGGCGCAGACAAAATTCTTAAAATTCGTTAGGGTCAGGGTTAATAGCTGTAGGAAAGTAGTTTTAATAGTAAAATTGCCCAACTAAAACTTTTTGTTAAAGTACTAAAGGTAGTTTCTTATGCTAATTTTTTGAGTTATAAGCGATTTTTGGCAGAACGAACGTTTGTTTTGAATCTTCTTGATTGTGTTACGTTACACCTAATCTTGAAAGTTGATTCG